CTTGAACGCGCTTCCATTGTGGGGTCAGGGATGAACTTTGAACTTAGAAAGGTCAAATCTGGCCAACTGGTGAAAAATAAAAGACAATTATGTCAACATAGACGTGAAATCAAAATCAGAACGAGCACATAATATATGTGCCATCTTCTATCATAAGCTTATCAATGGCTAACAGTTTCTACAAAATCTTTTTGCTCATTTTCTTTTGCTTTTGGGCTTCTATTGATGCAGCAACAGACACACTCATGCAAGGTGATATGCTCAATTCTTCCGTTCCTCTTGTTTCAAGAAACGGGAAATTCACCTTGAGCTTTTTCCGTAGTCCCTCACGTTCCGGGAACGGGTGTACTTGGGAGTATCGTCAGAGATAATATTGAGAGTCAATCTATCTGGGTAGCCAATCGAAGATGCCTATCCAGTGATTCAGTGGTCCTTCTCATAGATGAAACTGGTTCACTACTCATAAACCACAACAGTGGGGATTCTATCAAGCTATTTTCAGGTCAATCTAGAACCAATTTAGCTGCTGTTTTGCAAGTGATGGAAACTTCGTATTGAAAGAAACAAACTCTGATGGGCCTGCGAATTCCGAACCGCCCTGTGGCAAAGTTTTGATCTTCCGACGAATTCTCTCTTGCCGGGAATGAACTGGGGATCAACGACAAGACTGGTCAGAACTGGTCACTTAGATCATGGCTAAGTTATTCTCTACCGAGTCCAGGGGCTTTCACTCTGGAATGGTATCCTTTAGAAGAAGTTGATTGTTAAGCGGCGAGGTGTGGATTTTGGACTAGTGGGACATTTTTTTTGCTCTTCATTTGAAAACATTGAAGCGTTCACAGCAACAGCAAATTATTTCTTTCGCAAGTATTCAACCAAGATGAGAAATACCTTAACTACACAGCTACTCCATGTTACGAGTGGATGGAAACAGTGTTACAAGTTTGTGTTGACGAGTGATGGATCCTTGGTGGATACATGACTCGTAAATATCTTTTTGTGTCTTTCTTATGCGACGGAACACCACAGATTTTGGTTGTAAGAGATGGGAAGATCTATCTTGCAGGCATGGCAAAAGTTGAAAGAAAGGCGATTTCTAACAACGATCCTCAAATTATTCGTGTATTGACAACAGGACAATCTGAGCTTAAGTGACTGCAAGGACATGTGCTGGAAAAATTGTACTTGTGTTGGAGTTCAAGAAAAAGGCCCTAATCCTGGGGACAGGCTGCACGTTTCTCTCTGGACCTTTGAAGGAAATGAAGAATGGGAAGCAATCTAACTATCCCTAATCCTGATGAAGCATTTTACATCATCATTCCAGCCCCTTCAGGTATATCTCTCTCTCTGCTTCATTTAGACCATATTATAATTGATATTATTATTATAGTTCTTATGGGACATGGTTGTTATGGTAATTATGTTGCCCCAAATTATTATTGGTTTGATGAAGAATAGATGCAGGTATTACACAGTGAAATTGCCATTAAAATGCTCACAAACAGAACATGCTCCTTCTGCTAAGAGACCTGCAGATTTTCTTAAATTGTTACATAAAGGCATTATGTCTTGTATTAATATGATCCATTAGACGCATCTGAAAGCACTTATACACTAATTTCTAGGAACTCACAGATTTTCTCCATATAAACCTTTATAACACAGATTTCCTCCATATAACCTTTATGCCACAATTTCTAGCTTCTTTCAAATTTCCTTGACAGTTCTATTCTTCTAATTTTTTTCTAACGGAGTAAACAAGAATATCACATGCATAACAAAATAAAATTATGAACTTGGTTTCTGTATTGACTGCAACATTAGTAGGGAGTTAAACTAGAATTGCATTCAAAAAAAGGTTTATCATATGGGCATAAATTGCCAATGCAAGGTAAAGACAATATAATATAAAGTGAAATATTTATTTTGTTCTATTGGGCAGAGAACAGTCAATATGGAAGTGGATATTGATTTCAGTTGCTGCAGCAGCCCATTAGTTGTGATATTTCTTCTGGGATTTTTTCTTTTTATAAGATGGAGAAGACTTCGTCTTGAAGGTAATAAACTAAACCGTATGCATGAAATTTTCTTTCTGTTAGTAGTTACTGAATATCAAGTCAACTTTTTCATATTTCCATCCAACAGAAAAGTTCCTGTTTGAATTAATGAGTGAAGCTAAGGAGCTTGAAATCGATGGCAAGAAAGGTGTCAACTTGAAAGTGTACAGTGTTTCATCCATCATGGACGCTACAAATAGCTTCTCATCTGAAAACAAACTTGGAGAGGTGGCTTTGGGCCTGTTTCACAAGGTAATTTGGAAGACGAGAATGACAAAAAATGTTTCCTTAATAAAGCTTGTCTAAATTGAGCATCAACTTCATGATTGTTATTTCAGGGTTTATTGCCTGATGGACAAGAGATAGCAATAAAGAGGCTCTCAGGAAGATCCAGACAAGGGCTTGTGGAGTTCAGAATGAGCTGATAATAGTAGCTAAATTCAACACACGACTCTGGTGCGGCTCTTGGTTTCGCTTCAAGGAAGAGAAAATATTAGTCTATGAATACATGCCAAATAAAAGCTTGGACTCGTAATTTTCGGATGCAAATCTTCTCTAAGTACGTTTCATCACATTAAAAATCCCTTGATTCATTTTTCATATGCCTGTAGGTTTGTTCACTCTGTTTTTCTCATAAACAGATTCTAAAAGGAGCTGTTTGATTGGGACAAATGTTTTAACATCATTGAGAATTGCTCAAGGATTGCTCTATCTCCATATACTCAGACTGACAATAATTCATAGAGATTTGAAATCTGGCAAATATTACTAGACAAAAACATGAATCCCAAGATATCTGATTTCGGTATGGCAAAGATTTCGCCACAACTGAATCTGATGCAAATACAAATAGAATCGCGGAACACGGTGAGTATATCATATAGTTAAGAATTTTTACTGTTTGAAGATGTAAATTTTGGAGCACCTTAATTATTCATTGGTTCATACTAACGGCTGTATTTCATGAATGAAATCTAGGGGTTATATGGCTCCTGAATATGCTAGAGATGGCATCTTCTCTACGAAATCTGATGTCTTCAGTTTCGGAGTTTTAGTGTTGGAGATCATAAGTGGTAGGAGGAGTAACAGCATTTTTATTTGGACTCCGGTCAATCTCGTTGGATATGTAAGTCATAATGTAGTGTCATTATTTTAATTATGCATTAAAACCAACAAATGTTTATCTCGATGTTTAAATTTAATGGTTTTTTTCCAGGCCTGGGAATGTGGAGAGAAGGTGCGGTGTTAGAACTAGTGCATCCACATTACGTGATTCTTTTTTGAAGACCCAGTTTTGAGATGCATTAATGTGGCCTTGCTTTGTGTAGAGCACAATCCTGTGGACAGGCCCTCTATGTCAGCTGTCATTTGTATGTTAGGAAGTGATGTTGTAAAATTAACAAAGCCAAAGCAACCAGCATTTTCCACTGAAAGAATACCTGTTGATCAAGACAATTCAAGGAAATTAAGGCAGAGAATGTACAATAAATAACTTAACCATATCTGGGTTAGATCCACGATAAAGTATGAATCCTTTAATTTCTTATATATCACCTTTAATATACTGAAGTATTTGTTTAAGTCTATTGTTTCATATTTCTATCCAATTCATGAATCAACTTGTAATTACAATTTAACTCGCACCATTGTCGGGTACCAATTTATGGGCATAATTCTGATGCAAATCATGAATCTCAGGCGCATAATGAAATATTACTTGGTGGATCTTCTACATGCTGTTATGAATTCACAGAAAGAGGCATACAATTTCAAGACACATGATAGATTGACATATTGTTTCCTCTTTGTTCCTGTATTTATAATGTTTTATCGAGCTTTCTATATATTTTTTGTTGGAAGCAAGATGGGTACAAAGGTCACAAGGAAAGAGGAATAGAAAAGGAATTCACAAATCAAACCTTATTTCCCTTGTTCAAACTAGCTTGAGTAGATGGTTATTATACTACTCAAAAGAAACTCAAGTCTAATTTAAGGACATCTTATGCATTCACGTCTGGGAGATGTTTTACACACCAAAAGACCCAAACATTTGGTTTTCTCTGTTTCTCGGTTACTACTGAATAGTCAGTAGTAAATTATCCACAACTTGCTCAATAAAGTCTAATTGATGAGTGGTGTAAAGCTTTAAACTAGACAGCCATGGTGTTGGAAAAAAGGCTCATTTAGCAAAATCACATAGGGTAGAAGTGATAATGGAAAAAAGGTTTAGGGACTTATATGTAATAGGCCAAAAAGGTAGTTTATCCCACATTGAAAAAGAATGAAAAGTGGGAAACTTTTGGGGCCTATATATAAGGACCTAAATCATTGTTATTTGTATCCCAAGTTGTAATTCCATTATACTTCTTTTGTTTAGGGTTCTTTCTTTAAGGACCCTTTAGTTTACAAGATTTGTTGTATCTCTCCTTTGTTTTGGGTATTTATTGTATTGCCCAAAAGTTTGTAATATTGTTTGGAGATAGTGAAGTTTTCTTTTGCAGCGCCCGAGGATATAGGTTTCAATACCGAACCTCGTTAATTCCTAGTATTCTTTATTTTTGCATTTAATTTTTGCTATTTATTTATGCTTTACTACTTATTATTATATTCAATAGCTAGGGTCTAGAACTTATGTTTCTGTTGCATAACAAGTGGTATCAGAGCCTAAGTTTAGGACAGTGAGTAGCTATTTGTATGGTTATATGCATGTCTAGGAAAATTCTGTCAACAAGACGATAAAAGTCTAAGGAGACTGGATTTTAAGTGTGACCATTTGTGACCCCTCCATTGTTTCCTGGGAATTTTCCTAGTGCGTATTTAATCATTTCAGCACTTACTACTACCTAGGGCTATTGTTGATTTGTTGGTTAGCTATTGAATATATAATTTGTGGAGCTTGATTATTGGGAACTTTGTTTACCAAGCCAATTGAGTAAGACATAAATGGAGTCATTGTCTGAGGAGTCATTGTCTGAGGCATCACCATTCGCGGCACCACCATTCGTGCCAGTAATTCAAATGCAAAAATTGATGTTGAAAAATTTGATGGTCAAAATAATTTTGGCTTGTGGCAGAGTGAGGTAATGGATAGCTTGTATCAATAGGATCTAGATATCGTTCTGGAGGAGGAAAAACCAGAAGATATCTATGAGAAAGATTGGGTGAGGTTGAATGTAAAAGCGTGTGGGATGATTCGCTCATGTCTTTGTAGAGAACAAAAATATCCATTCATGAAAGAGATGTCTACCAATAAGTTATGGAAGGCGTTGGAAAACAAATACATGAAAAGAAGTAATGAGAATCGGCTCTATTTGATGAAAAGATTGTTTCGTCTTCTGTTGAGACCAGGTACGAATATCAATAGCCATATTGATACATTTAACAAGTTAATTGCTGATTTCTTAAATTTGGATCAAACATTCAAAGATGAACATAAAGCTATGTTATTGATTGGATCTCTTCCGGATGAGTTGGATCATCTTAGTATTACACTTCTTCATGGGAAAGAAAAATTATCCTTTAAAGAAGTTTGTTCTGCTCTGTCTAATCATGAAATTCGGAAAAAAGATCAGAAGGAGAATAGAGATGAGTAAGTAGAAGCAATTGTAGCAAGAGGGTTGAGTCAGAGTCGTAAGAATGAGAGAAGAGGAAGATCTCGTNTGATGGGACTGCGAATTCCGAACCGCCCTTGTGGCAAAGTTTTGATCTTCCGACGAATTCTCTCTTGCCGGGAATGAAACTGGGGATCAACGACAAGACTGGTCAGAACTGGTCACTTACATCATGGCTAAGTTATTCTCTACCGAGTCCAGGGGCTTTCACTCTGGAATGGTATCCTTTAGAAGAAGAATTGATTGTTAAGCGGCGAGGTGTGGATTTTTGGACTAGTGGGACATTTTTTTGCTCTTCATTTGAAAACATTGAAGCGTTCACAGCAACAGCAAATTATTTCTTTCGCAAGTATTCAGACCAAGATGAGAAATACCTTAACTACACAGCTGCTCCATGTTATCAGAAGGATGGAAACAGTGTTACAAGTTTGTGGTTGACGAGTGATGGATCCTTGGTGGATACATTGACTCGTAAATATCTTTTTAAGTCTTTATTATGCGACGGAAACACCACAGATTTTGGTTGTAAGAGATGGGAAGATCTATCTTGCAGGCATGGTCAAAAGTTGGAAAGAAAGGCGATTTCTAACAACGATCCTCAAATTATTCGTGTATTTGACAACAGGACAAATCTGAGCTTAAGTGACTGCAAGGACATGTGCTGGAAAAATTGTACTTGTGTTGGAGTTCAAGAAAAAGGCCCTAATCCTGATGGGACAGGCTGCACGTTTCTCTCTGGACCTTTGAAGGAAATGAAGAATGGAGGAAGCAATCTAACTATCCCTAATCCTGATGAAGCATTTTACATCATCATTCCAGCCCCTTCAGGTATATCTCTCTACTCTGCTTCATTTAGACCATATTATAATTGATATTATTATTATAGTTCTTATGGGACATGGTTGTTATGGTAATTATGTTGCCCCAAATTATTATTGGTTTGATGAAGAATAGATGCAGGTATTACACAAGTGAAATTGCCATTAAAATGCTCACAAACAGAACATGCATCCTTCTGCTAAGAGACCTGCAGATTTTCTTTAAATTGTTACATAAAAGGCACTTATGTCTTGTATTAATATGATCCATTAGACGCATCTGAAAGCACTTATACACTAATTTCTAGGAACTCAACAGATTTTCTCCATATAAACCTTTATAACACAGATTTCCCTCCATATAAACCTTTATGCCACAATTTCTAGCTTCTTTCAAATTTCCTTGACAGTTCTATTCTTCTAATTTTTTTTTTCTAACGGAGTAAACAAGAATATCACATGCATAACAAAATAAAATTATGAACTTGGTTTCTGTATTGACTGCACACATTAAGTAGGGAGTTAAACTAGAATTGCATTCAAAAAAAGGTTTATCATATAGGCGATAAAATTGCCAATGCAAAGGATAAAGACAATATATATATAAAGTGAAATATTTATTTTTGTTCTATTGGGCAGAGAAGCAGTCAATATGGAAGTGGATATTGATTTCAGTTGCTACAGCAGCCGCATTAGTTGTGATATTCTTCTTGGGATTTTTTCTTTTTATAAGATGGAGAAGACTTCGTCTTGAAGGTAATACACTAAACCGTATGCATGAAATATTTCTTTCTGTTATTAGTTTACTGAATATCAAGCTCAACTTTTTCATATTTCCATCCAAACAGAAAAGTTCCTGTTTGAATTAATGAGTGAAGCTAAGGAGCTTGAAATCGATGGCAAGAAAGGTGTCAACTTAAAAGTGTACAGTGTTTCATCCATCATGGACGCTACAAATAGCTTCTCATCTGAAAACAAACTTGGAGAGGGTGGCTTTGGGCCTGTTTACAAGGTAAATTTGGAAGACGAGAATGACAAAAAATGTTTCCTTAATAAAGCTTGTCTAAAATTGAGCATCAACTTCATGATTGTTATTTCAGGGTTTATTGCCTGATGGACAAGAGATAGCAATAAAGAGGCTCTCAGGAAGATCCAGACAAGGGCTTGTGGAGTTCAAGAATGAGCTGATAATAGTAGCTAAATTACAACACACGACTCTGGTGCGGCTCTTGGGTTTCTGCATTCAAGAGGAAGAGAAAATATTAGTCTATGAATACATGCCAAATAAAAGCTTGGACTCGTATATTTTCGGTATGCAAATCTTCTCTAAGTACGTTTCATCACATTAAAAATCCCTTGATTCATTTTTCATATGCCTGATAGGTTTGTTCACTCTGTTTTTCTCATAAACAGATTCTAAAAGGGAGCTGTTTGATTGGGACAAATGTTTTAACATCATTGAAGAAATTGCTCAAGGATTGCTCTATCTCCATAAGTACTCAAGACTAACAATAATTCATAGAGATTTGAAATCTGGCAATATATTACTAGACAAAAACATGAATCCCAAGATATCTGATTTCGGTATGGCAAAGATTTTCGCCACAACTGAATCTGATGCAAATACAAATAGAATCGTCGGAACACGGTGAGTATATCATATAGTTAAGAATTTTTACTGTTTGAAGATGTAAATTTTGGAGCACCTTAATTATTCATTTGGTTACATACTAACTGGCTGTATTTCATGAATGAAATCTAGGGGTTATATGGCTCCTGAATATGCTAGAGATGGCATCTTCTCTACGAAATCTGATATCTTCAGTTTCGGAGTTTTAGTGTTGGAGATCATAAGTGGTAGGAGGAGTAACAGCATTTTTTATTTGGATCAGCCGCTCAATCTCGTTGGATATGTAAGTCATAATGTAGTGTCATTATTTTAATTATGCATTAAAACCAACAAATGTTTATCTCAATGTTTAAATTTAATGGTTTTTTTCCAGGCCTGGGAATTGTGGAGAGAAGGTGCAGTGTTAGAACTAGTGCATCCAACATTACGTGATTCATGTTTTGAAGACCCAGTTTTGAGATGCATTAATGTGGCCTTGCTTTGTGTAGAGCACAATCCTGTGGACAGGCCCTCTATGTCAGCTGTCATTTGTATGTTAGGAAGTGATGTTGTAAAATTAACAAAGCCAAAGCAACCAGCATTTTCCACTGAAGATACCGTGTTGATCAAGACAATTCAAGGAAATTAAGGCAGAGAATTGTACAATAAATAACTTAACCATATCTGGGTTAGATCCACGATAAAGGTATGAATCCTTTAATTTTCTTATATATCACCTTTAATATACTGAAGTATTTGTTTAAGTCTATTGTTTCATATTTCTATCAATTCATGAATCAACTTGTAATTACAATTTAACTCGGCACCATTGCGGGTACCAATTTATGGGCATAATTCTGATGCAAATCATGAATCTCAGGCGCATAATGAAATATTACTTGGTGGATCTTCTACATGCTGTTATGAATTCACAGAAAGAGGCATACAATTTCAAGACACATGATAGATTGACATATTGTTTCCTCTTTGTTCCTGTATTTATAATGTTTTATCGAGCTTTCTATATATTTTTTGTTGGAAGCAAGATGGGTACAAAGGTCACAAGGAAAGAGGAATAGAAAAGGAATTCACAAATCAAACCTTATTTCCCTTGTTCAAACATAGCTTGAGTAGATGGTTATTATACTACTCAAAAGAAACTCAAGTCTAATTTAAGGACATCTTATGCATTCACGTCTGGGAGATGTTTTACACACCAAAAGACCCAAACATTTGGTTTTCTCTGTTTCTCGGTTACTACTGAATAGTCAGTAGTAAATTATCCACAACTTGCTCAATAAAGTCTAATTGATGAGTGGTGTAAAGCTTTAGAAACTAGACAGCATGGTGTTGGAAAAAAGGCTCATTTAGCAAAATCACATAGGGTAGAAGTGATAATGGAAAAAAGGTTTAGGGACTTATATGTAATAGGCCAAAAAGGTAGTTTATCCCACATTGAAAAAGAATGAAAAGTGAAACTTTTGGGGCCTATATAAAGGACCTAAATCATTGTTATTTATCCCAAGTTTTAATTCCTTATACTTCTTTTGTTTAGGGTTCTTCTTAAGACCCTTTAGTTTACAAATTTGTTGTTCTCTCCTTTGTTTTGGGTATTTATTGTATTGCCAAAAGTTTGTAATATTGTTTGGAGATAGTGAAGTTTTCTTTTGCACGCCCGAGGATTAGGTTCAATACCGAACCTCGTTAATTCCTAGTATTCTTTATTTTTGCATTTAATTTTTGCTATTTATTTATGCTTTACTACTTATTATTATATTCAATAGCTAGGGTCTAGAACTTATGTTTCTGTTGCATAACAGTGGTATCAGAGCCTAGTTTAGACAGGTAGCTATTTGTATGGTTATATGCATGTCAGGAAAATTCTGTCAACAAGACGATAAAAGTCTAAGGAGACTGGATTTTAAGTGTGACCATTGTGACCCCTCCATTGTTTCCTGGAATTTTCCTAGTGCGTATTTATCATTTCAGCACTTACTACTACCTAGGGCTATTGTTGATTTGTTGGTTAGCTATTGAATATAAATTTGTGGAGCTTGATTATTGGGAACTTGTTTACCAAGCCAATTGAGTAAGACTAATGGAGTCATTGTCTGAGATCATTGTCTGAGGCATCACCATTCGCGGCACCACCATTCGTGCCAGTATCAAATGCAAAAATTGATGTTGAAAAATTTGATGGTCAAAATAATTTTGGCTTGTGGCAGAGTGAGTATGGATAGCTTGTATCAATAGATCTAGATAGTTCTGGAGGAGAAAACCAGAAGATATCTATGAGAAAGATTGGGTGAGTTTGAATGTAAAAGCGTGTGGGATGATGCGCTCATGTCTTGTAGAGAACAAATATCCATTCTAAAGGATGTCTACCATAAGTTATGGAAGGCGTTGGAAAACAAATACATGAAAAGAAGTAATGAGAATCGGCTCTATTTGATGAAAGATTGTTTCGTCTTCTGTGATAACCAGGTACGAATATCATAGCCTATTGATCCATTTAACAAGTTAATTGCTGATTTCTTAAATTTGGATCAAACATT